CAGGACTAAAACCAGGATTAATCCATTCCAGGACTAAACTAGGACTAAAGTAGGTCTAAACCAGGACTAAAACCAGTGATCTCATATATATTTCTCTATCAATAATATTTTTAATATGGTTAAGGAAAGACTGGACTTTTTATTGTCTTTAAGTAGACAAAAGTTATTATGTTCAGATTTCCTCGTCTTTGCTACTTTACAACAAACAGTTTCTTATTCATGGAGACTTGGGCTCAACAGCCAATTTGGAGAGATTTGTTAAACAATAAATGACTTTATAAAGTCACTTTTTTAAATCTATATTAGTCTTTTGATCTGCCACAATAATGTAATAATGAATTTAAATGAAAATACCTCAAATTGAAGGCTTTTCTCAGCAATTTTTAGGTGAGATTAAAATGAGATTAATTAGATTAATTAATTACAGATCATAATTAATTAATCTCTCAATTTTTTTAATCGCATGACAGCACTAATAATAATACAACTGAAATACCACATGTGATTGTCAACCTTGTGCCAAGTTGTGTGAAACAAGTTTCTCTTGTCCAAACATAACATCTGCAATGTTAGTTACTCATGAATTGTACAATATCAGATGTCTGATAAGATTTTCCAATACTTCCATATTTATCAAATGAAATCAAACGGTACCAATGCACTGTCCATGGAGAGTACACCTGCAGCAGTGTAAGATAGACAAAATGTGATTAGATTATACAGTGGTGGTAGAATGAACAGTATCTTATGTAACACAGAGAAGTGAGGTGCCTGGTCGTCACTATGGAAACGACCTCAGCGGTAAGATGTGTTTCGTGGCCGACTCAAGTTAAGTCCAAAAATTCAGGTCAAATGGGACTGAGAACTAAAGGCATTGAAAGAGAAACTTATAAAGTAAATGTCAACAAACAAAATAAAATGTCACTCAGTAAAACAATACAAAAGGAACCACTTAAATGTCACAGAACACATTATAATAGCTGGTATGGAATATGATTTTTTAAGATGCACACTGACTGACAACCTCACAATAAATCAATAAATAAGGGGCACTCAATTCTGAAAGAAAATAAAAATTCATGATTTTAATCGCATATGCATTCAAGCGATAATTTGCATACAGAGAGAGTGATGCATTAGCACGATTACAAGTAAAAGCAGACACAAGCAGATGTAATGAAAGGGGGAAAAGCTTCCAGCAAAAACAGGATGAACACCCACAACTCACAAAGGAGATTGCAATTTAAAAAAAAAAAAGAAATGATTGAGACATTTTGGTATCACTTTGTAAGTCATTTTTAAAACCAAAATAAATGGTTCACCCTGTTAATAGACAGTGGGTTTAGTAAATGGGTAGAATAAATAAATTAAATGTGCGTCAGTGCAATGGCACATATGTCAGAGGTCTGTGTTTCCAAACCAAGAACAATGGAGTTTAGTGGGTCGCGGTTATTGAGTGGTCAGAGTAAACAGCTGGAGAGTGAGGAGGGCTGTATGAATGGGTAATAGAGGAGAGGGGCAATAGGGGAAGGGAGGGGGCTATTGGGTCTATCAGTGAAAGGTATGGAAGATGTTTAATCAACTGTATAGCTTTTATGAACACAGTGTATGGGTATAGCCTACGTATGGAACTGCATAGTTTAACTTCAGTTCAGACATGTTCAGACAGACAGGTTATAATGTATTGATTAATATTACAAACTACGATATTACAATTATTTCTGGATGTACCAAAGCTCATAGTGCATATACAAATTCAAAATCATAAAACAAGTGATATTTTTGATAGATTTTTGACAGCTTGTGAATTCTTGTTATATTGGTGAATCAACAGTTTACATAAAGTTGCATTTAGATGTATAGCATATATTTACAAGTGGGGTACGTGTTCCCATCTATAGCATGCATTACTCTGCCTATGTAAGCCTGCATTTTGTGTTATTATTAGACAGTGAAGAATCCTTAAGGCAAGCTGCCAACTCTGGTGATGAACATGAACTGTACATGGTTATAAATGATACATGCTCCAACTCAGGCAACCTCACAAAATATTCATCATGGTTGAGTCACACAGCTAAGCTACTGTACGCTATTTTGGAAAAGAGATTGTTCTCAAACACCCTATTAGTTATTAGCTAGTTGACGCTATGGGTCATTATCCCTATTACTATTATTTTTTTTCTGATTGGTTCATTCATTACATGCAAAAGTTAAGTTGATTTTCCATTTAGCAAATTAGAATAGCATCAGGCCAATCATGTTTGTCCAGTTAGTTGGTCTACAATTATGTCACTAATCTGTGTTTTAAATAGGTTTGTATCAAGTGTATTTTTCCTTATTCTGTGGTGAGGAAGGAGCTTGAATTCACGCAGCCCATTCAACATCCTAAACGCCATCAGCATCAAGACATTATTTTAACAATAAGCGCCGCTGTTAGCTCAAATAATCGTCTGATCCAGCTGTAAAATGCGATCAGAAAACAGCCCAACGTGAATTTTGTTTAATGCATCCAAGGAAACGCGAAATTTTATTCCAGTTAGCCATTTTTTCTTCAATATATTCGGCGCACCACTGTTACCAGCCCGTTACGCTTGTGGCTAACTCGGTAGCCGATCTTGCTGTACCAAGACACCGCTCGCTGCCTTTGTATCACCGCTGCACAAAAAAACACCCATGGGACGACGTGTAACGAATATACAAACGCGCCATACCTCTTTCACGTCGATCTCGATGATTACAAAGCCATTTCCTTTCGTGAAGTGTTAGTTTGTGGTGTTAAATGTCTTGTTTTCATCAGCTCGTCTCGTCTGTCTTCTCCGGGAGTCGTGGTGGCTGACAGCGCTCCGGCGGCTCCAGCTCACAGCCCCGCCCCTGGAGACCAATCAGAGGGCGAGGTTGTGGAAACTGAGGCAGACGGAGGATTCCATTGGTCGGTCAAAGTGTCAATCATTGTGTCGCTAAGGGAGCACCTTGGACCGGAGCAAAGACACCTGCTCAAGAGGGACGATGCTGAGCGGGCGACGCAGGTGTGTGTGGCCGGGAGAGGTGACGAGAGAGCGGCCTGGAGTGACGGCACACGAGCGGGGGAGCGTGTCAACACCAGCGTTTTATGTGGGCAGCTGCTCAAATAAACACTACAAAGAATGGTGGAAAATTAAGAGATCCTTTTGTTGTCGAGAGTAGGGTAGGCTACTTTGTATATGCATAATTGGCTGTTATACATGAAGTAGATAAATAAAGCAGCTATACCAAGCATACCCCTATACCCTGTACCCTTTACCTCATATCCACAATTTAGCCTAGTAAGTTAATTAGTAGTAGGACTTTCATTTTCTGGGGAGTTCTTTAATTTCAGACGTTGTATTGGCTCAATGTGTCTAATATTTCAGGGTCATGGCTTTGTTTAGTTCTAGATCTATTTGATATAGGCCTGTACTTAAGTCACATTACATTTTTACTACTGAAAGCAGTTTATAGAGATGTTGTGGCTTTGCCTATTGAGTGGATTATGACATTCAACTATGTACATGGAGGCTAGTATGAGATGCTATCAGACCAAATTACATGTCAGATCTGTGGAGAGGCAACCCCACCAGAAAGAATGCATGTTTTTCAAGATATTTTCCAACAATAATTAGGTTAAATAAATGCTAGATGTTAGGTGTTTAATACCATACAGTGGAGCATTCAGGCAAAGCTATAACATAACATCACCATGAAGATACTCATTATATTAAGATTTAAATCCCATGTTACTTCTATCTTTATCCTAATATCAACTATTCAGACTAAAGGCTATAGGCATAGAGCCTATGCATACCCAAACTACAGTATTTATCAAAACATCTTTTATTTATGATTTGACCTGTACATGCAGTATATTAAAATACATTAGAAATAAAGTTCTCTGTAAACTCACTCACTGTCATACTGTGATACTGTTATTTAAGGCTGCACTGTTAAAATGAAACAGGAAGTACACTTACACTTCTCTTGGGGATGCATTTTAAGGAATATTGTATTTTTATCACAAAACCTCAAACTCAGCGCAGACCATATTGTGTCATCACCATTTGCAACTCTGCTCTCTCATGGCTTAAACACACACTGATAATAGTTCCAGAGCTTCAATATAATAATAATATGATACAAGCTTATATTATATAAGCGGTATGTGTGGAAATGGTCTTTTTCAATGAAAAAAAATGTTAAAGAATCAAAATGTGTATATTTCCACAGAGAAGACAGCATGTACCTTAAAGTTCAACTGAGAAATAGTTCTATACAATTAACTGTGAGAACATTTTAGCAAATAACTGCTTCAAACTACACAGAGAGGGATTAGCTGCACACATCAGGGAGTGACATTAACTATAGTTTGCTCAATGGCCAGTGTCCTTCAACATCCAAAGGCCTGTAATTTTCATAAGATACTAATTGGATGCTGAGTAAGATATAGTATTATCAAATAGGATTTGATATTACAGTTTATTTAACAGAGATACTTTATGGGTCTGTTCATCCTTATACTTTCATCGCATGAAGTATGGACTATACTAAACCAGGACCAAAACAAATTCAAACCTACTCTACATCAGGACTAAAATGGGCTCAAATCAGGACCAAAACAGGAAAAGTATGAATGCACCCTATATGTGCATTTTCAAACAGGCCTTATCTTAAGTCTCCTTCAGCCAAATAGAATATATAGGTTATAGTCAGGAACAGTAACAAATAGTCAAAGATAAAGTATTTAAATTTAACTTAAGTTCAACAGAAATCTACCTCTGATCATTTGCCATGTGGCAGAGGTTCATGTCTAAAGCTCAAATTGTAATAAAATGTGATTTAAAGAAAATACATAACAATAGAAAATATAACATTTCATTGAGATAAAGGCTATGTTTATCTGTCAATATTTAATCCTGCAACACATCAATAAACAAAACAATACATTCACTTGTACAAAAACCTTTGTATTTAACATGTTTACTGTAAACCTGATCCCAGCCCATAGTTCATAACATCACTTAACTTTATATGAACAGATATTTTTGGCAGCTTCCAACTCATTTCAGGGAGACAACATACAACATAGTGAAAAGAAAACAGTTTTGATTGAGCACAGTTATAATATATCCCTGGGATGAGAGGTGGATGCAATGTTGGTTTCTTCAATGTTGTTCTTTGCTCTCTGTCAAAGCGATAACCAAATATGACATGCAAGTGTGATGACTTTGCTGATCAAGTCTGTTGTTGTTTTTTTTCACTTGTTTTGAGTCAGTTCAGAACATGAAAAGATTCAGTATATTACAGCATCCATAAAGCTTATTTATGTAGAAAAAAACATTTTTAGCTTAATTGGTCGTACCTCTAACGGTTTAATCATATTGCGGGTCATCAGTCAATGATACCTGCTGCAGGTAGGCAGGTTGGTAAGACCCCCGGGACGTTTCCATGAATACTGTGGAGGAGGTGAGACTTTTCCCATCCTTTTTTAGAGAGTGTCTGCGTTGCCACCGACAGAGCAGCATCTCTACCTGCTCTCTGAAGAAGCTGGTGGTCAAGGTGTACAGGATGGGGTTCAGAGCACTGTTGATGGGCAAGATAAAGATGACCACCCAACTGGAAATTGTGCCTACAGAAAGGAGAAATTTTAATTACTGTATTGTTTTTAATGTAAAAATGTGTGTTTTAAATGCCTTCTTTTGAAAACCAGGGTCCAAGCATTGAGCAATTAAATGTGAATCTTTATGCTGAACTCAAAGACACATTTAGAAAGCTGCTTGAAGAGAATATTATAAAGGTAGCATAGGAAGGATTATAAGTTATTTAGTAGAAGTTAGAGTTGCACTATATACATTTTCTGGTGGACGGTCCACTACTTGCTTGTCTCCATGGAAATATATTGCTTTATATGGAATGCTCCACAGTATGACATTATACATAATTATGTTGCAACAGTTTAAATATAAACGTTTCTATACTGTGTAACAAAACAATACAAAGTCCACTGAGTTGGTGGGCCCCTCACTAGGAAAGTTACATAGCTCACCTTTAATGATAGTCAAAAACATGCTATTACATTCTGTTTGTGAAATTTGCTTTAGTATAGAATTAACAGCAATAAAATATACTAATAATACATTATCAGCATGGTTAGTAGGTACTTTCAAGCTTAGTACCAAATTGCTACAGAAATTGTAACAATTCAACTTGTGCCTTACCAGGAATCTCTACTTCCAGGATAGAAAGAATTTTGACCAAAAATATGGGTATCCAGCAGAGGGCGTCAGAGAACACGATGAAGAAAAACCTGTTGGCCACAGCCACGTCTTTGTGCAGCCGGCTCCTCAGGTCTGTGGCGTTGATGCCGGTTTTATAGATGGAGAAAAACATGCTGGAGTAGCAGAAGAGGATCACGAGGAAGGCCGCCAAGTTAAGACCTGCAGAATAATATATTGCAAGAGTCAAAAAATAAATAAAAAAAAAAAAAATCTGAAAATATGATAATATTAAATCAAACATTTGATCATATAATCAGCAAAGTTTTAAAATATATTTATTTTTGGTATATATTGATATATGATATGCTATATTTTGGTGCTCGTGGTGCTTACCATTGCAAACAGCTTGTAATTTGCTTGCTAAAACACTCATAACTTAATACAAAGTGTGATTCAAGCTATTATGTCTAGGATCTTAATAAAATGCTCAAAGTGATATTTCTGCCCTTTCAAAAGATTAAATTTGTTAACAGCCCAGCACACAACAGATCTCCTTGTTCTTTGTATTTACCAATGGTGGAAGAAGTACTCAATTTTGTTACTTAAGTAAAAGTACAGATACCAGACCAAGTAAAGTATTACATGAAAAAATCTACTTAAGTAAAAGTATTTAAGTGCCATTTAAACTAATTTAAAATGTACTTCAAGAGTAAAACATAAAAGTATTTCACACAGCTTTGAGGTTATAAAGTTTGAAATGTAGTGACTTTGATAAAGATTTGTGCTGAATTTTGTTCAACACAAACAATTCAATGTTTGGCTTTTTATATATTTTTTGCGCAAACAGCAAATGTTTTACAAGTAAACCCTCAGCCTTTTCAGGTGGTCTCAAACAATAATACAAAATTCTTCAGTCCTGTTCAAAAATGTAGTCAAGTAAAAGTAAAAAGTATTAACTTTAAAAAGTACACATTTACTTGAATACAGTAGTTTACTACTTTTACCTCAGTACATTCCACCACAGATATTTATTAATTACTGGTAAACAGTACTGACATCTTCATGAGCAAAAATAATTTATCTTTCACATGAGCATCTTCTCTCCCTGTCACACATGCTTAGAACATGCTACAATTGTCCATTTCTAACATGAACGTTGAGCACAAAATATTTACCTCATGTGCAAACCCTAAATTTGTATTTTCTTGTAACATCAATGCAGCTATTGTTACTTGACATACCCAGAAAAATGCCAGTGGAGTATCCTTTGGCTGTTGGTTTCTCTTGTCTGTCAGAGTGCAGAGGAAAGCAGACCCCATTACGCCCATAGTAATTCCCAAATATCTCTTCGTTCATTAAAGGCACAGCAGCAATTATGAAGCCAGTGAGCCAAATGGATGAGAGGACAACCTGCAGTCAGAGATGGAACAGTCTATATAAGTCCAGCTATAAAGGCTTTTCAGCATGTTACCCACAGTTAAATATATTACACAAAATGGACTCTTGTGAGCATTAAGCCATCAAAAACAAACATGGAGTTGTGTTTTGTTTTCATTCACACATGTTTGAGTAAGTAGTAGTAGCTTAGTTAACAGCTCCTTTTATATGTAGTTCAGCAGAGAATGGCAATTCCAGGGCTGAAATCATCCAAATGATTCTAGTGAAGGTGTATGGAGTTTTTAAAACACTGTGGAGCACTTCCTGCATTGCCACATGACATCACAAGGTGGAACAGAGTGTTTTCTGTTTGAGAGAAGAACTCAGCCTAAATATGCAGGGTTTGTGTGAAACAAAACACAACCACAGGTATGTTTTTGATGAGGAAACAGCATTATAATATAGCTCAGAATATAGCATAATATGGGCCTTTTAATGAGAATTCAAGAGATGCAGGTTGCAACTCAAGGAAAAGTATGAATGAATTCACTATGTACTGCAAAATCACCAAAAATCTATTACCCAATCTATAGCCTGGTACTGTTTTTTTATAACCATTCTAGAGAATTAAATTCATTACCGTATCCAATTGCCTATACTAGTAAAGGTAGAATGATTAGAATGATTATGCCTACAGGGTTCAAAGTTGTCAACAAAGACTGAGTCAGTTGCAACTGTGGTTTTACCAGCAGCGGTTTGATAAAATCCGTTTTATGCTGAGCACCGTGTTTTTCTAAAATAAACCTAAAATGACTTGTTTTCACAGCTCTTTGCATAAGCCTCATAATCCAACAAGTAATTTACACATTAAGCAGGTTTTGCAGCCAAATCTATTCTGGTTTTATTCACTGAGCAGTCACTAATTTCCAGACATCAAACCTAACACCTAAAATTACTACATGATGAAAACACTAACAAGCCAAAATCAAGTCTCTTACCCCAGTTTGCAGTTTGCCTGGACGTAGATTACTGAAGGGGAAAACAATGACCAGGAACTTCTCCAGCGTTAGGTAAGTCAAAAGGAGGACTGACACCTGTGTGAAATGTAAATGTTCAAAAGAAATGTGAGAAATATGGTCATGCAGTCCTTTCCATATAACAAAACAACACTTGTATTATGACCTAGATGACAATAAACTTCACTGTCATTGCAAATTTGTAATCTGCTTTGGTGCAATCCTGTTTTATAATCAGCCATGCATATTACAATAGTACAGTTTATTTTAGTAAGTAGTTCTGAATGATACAGGGATAGAATGTATTTGTTCCTGCTTCAAGGGGGGAGCTCTGAAAGGGTGAAAATCAAAAAGAATTCTGACTTGTAAAAAGCAAAAGATGCAAAAGGTGATATGAACTAGAGGTAATGAGATACAAATACTAGAGGTGAAGTAACAAAAGCTACACAGTGCACCTATGATCTACATGAATTGCAGTTTTCCCCTATATTGCTTCTGAATCCACATTGTCCATTTTCCAGATTCTATCTATTGCATTTACCCTTGAGATTTGATTACCTCAGACGACAGCATGGCAAGAAATCCAATGGTCTTGCACTCAATGCTCTCCATCCAGATCAGGGCATTACGGTTGTACTGTCCCCGAAATTTCACATCAAAAATCCCAACAAAAAATAGGTACACCCCCATAAGACAGTCTGCACCTGGAAGATAAGAAAGCCACAAAAATGTATGCATATAGAGGAGGAACTGACAACAGAAGCTCTCATTAAAATACACACAAAAGGATATTGCTCATGCAGTATATTAGGTTATTCCATGAGGGAATGCAGCAGCAGTGAAGGACAATATAAGAAAAGGTGACTCATTGGGTCTATTTTACTTTAGGAAGCAATACGAGCAAAGTTAAAATGTTATTTCATTTTGTGCTTGAAAGTAACATTGTTGACTAACGAATACAAAATATGTGACGCCAAACAGAATGGGTTTGTATCCTGTTATTCAAATGAAACTGTAAATCCTCTGCCAAGTTTACAGTTTACAGTATGATGCATAATGACTTGGAATATATTTTAATGCATTTTAATATTCCCTGAAGAGAGTTTGTTCCTGTATTGCAGCATGAGAAAACTTGTCAGGAGCAGTGACATCAAATAGACTGGGTTGTTTCCTGTTATTCCAAAAAACTGTAAATTCTCTGCCATGTTTACACTTTACAGTATGATGCCTAATGATTTGCCATATATTCTAATACATTTTGATATTCCCCTGAAGAGAAATTTGTTCCCATTTTGCTGCATGAGAGAACTTGTCTGTGAGCAAGTACAGTGTAGTTCCCATCAAGGAACAAGCTATGTTCACGGTCAGCAGTAGAGAAGTTAGAAGTCTGATGTTCATGTTAATATTACACCAGATGCCTTTTCTGATACACCCCTCCTCATTTATTTGTGCTTACGGCTTACGCAAAGACTACATGGTCATTTTATATTTTTTTATGTTTTCCAATTCATTTTCAAAAGTGCCATGTCCCAAGCTTGAAATTTAGTTTAAGAGTATGCCAATCCTAAAATGTAACTTTTTTTTTAGGAATTCACTCCAGACTTCCCAATATTTCTGCAAAAGGCTATAACAATGAACAAACCTCCCTGCTCCTAATGTAATGCAGCGGAACTCCATTGCACAAGAGACTAAATTTAAATTTGACGACTCGGCCAAATTCAAGACAAGGACATCCAGCACCCACAGACGAGGTTTGTAGAAAGTTTCACAAGTTAGAAAATAGACTGCTGCTGTCACAACAAGAGCTCTATGGAGACTGTAGAGTTCTGTTTAATAAAAGTAAACAAAGCATATATGAGGCCTATAGAAATAATGGGTCAGTAAAGTAAACTCCACCTCCATCATTATTTCCTTCTTATATGCTCTTTGAAAAACAGTTTACTGTATGTCACAAAATACTTACCCATAGTGACCTGTAGTGAACAATGCTTTATTTTATATATAATAAAAATAATAATATTAATTTAACTGATGGCAAAACAAATTTTGTCATCTGGACAAATTATGGCAAAACCTGTCCAGATGACAACCTTGACAACTGTGGGACACATTTCATTGTATGAAATAAAGAAGTTAATAAAAAATTCACACAGATTTTTTCACCCTCCTGTTAAAAAAACATATAAAGAAGAGATTGGCAGCCTCACTTCCGTCGGTCTGCCCCAGGGCAGCTGTGGCTACAATAGTAGCTTACTACCACTGAGTGTTAAGTGGCTGAATAATGATCTGTAAAGCGCTTTGGGTATCTTGAAAGGCGCTATATAAATGCAATCAATCAATCAATCAATGAGATGATCAGATATGAGATGAGATCATCATGAAACATTTGGGGTCCTATTTTGTCCCCGATCTCACCACTAGCACAAGTGTGGGGTGTGGAGCTCTAAACAAGGGATGTGCCGTGCCTGAATATTAGGTGGAGCGGTGGTGTGGCATGTTCAATGAATTGCCAGAATTGTAAAAATAAATATCAAACTATTCCACTGAAAAACACAGTGTAACATGCTCAAGGCTTCTTTTATTTGGAAATATATTACAATGATAAATGCTTTCATAACATGTTTGTGTGCTGTGAGGGATGTTCCTGCGCTGTCTGGATGCCCTCCCACAGCAGAGCACGCAGTCCCTCGCCCGCTTCTTGTATTGAATTAGCAATGCTCTGTAGTTTGGTTTGATCTGGATTTGTACAAAAGCTGCTCATTCACATGAGGCTGTTAACAACGCTGTCCTACAATGTGCTTTCCTACCCTGTCTGCCTAATGCTGAGATACCGTATTTTCCTCACATCCTCATACCCTTTCTGTCATCAGATCCATTTAATTTTGTGACCAAATTATACCCATTGTGCCTTTTTGGTTAGTTTATAAAGTTAGTCGCCAGCAGGTACCATCAGAGCCGCAGAAAACTGAACTCTGTCAGTGATCAGCACGCACATTCATTGAGCTCAGGGCTGTGACAGAGAAGCAGAGCATATACACGTCTGGTATGTGCTGCTCTCTTGGCAGCAGCGGTCAACAGAGCTTTGTACAGAGGCTCAAGAGACGTATAATGCAGATGAGCACTGCTTTGTACAGACACCTGTGAATCCTGCTCTGTGCGCTCATGGTGCATATCAATCACTTATGCAGGTCTTGCAGTCACCCTCCCCATGTGCTCCCCATGTGTGTGTGTAAAGAGGTAAAATCTGAAACATTTAGGCTATATGACAATAAACGCATTCTGTGTGGGACCAAATGCGAGACATGTGAGAAATGCGAATGCGACAAATGCGAAATGTGAGACAAGAATGTGAGCGGTCAGCAGTGGAAACTTGTACCTCAGGTGAGATACAAGATAGTGGTCTGCCGGGATAGACAGGAGCGGGTGCAATCCAGGGGAGAGCAGTGGTCAGCAGGTCTGCTATTGGATGGGAGGAAAAGAATGGAGGAACACAGAGAAAACTAAAAAGGCATGACATGTGTGTGTGTTCGGAATACATCCAAAAATCTATATTCCTGGTATATCTACTGGTGCGTAATTGCATCGTGGGGCTCAGGAGCAGTTTTATTCTACCCATATAATGTATATTTTTCTCACACCCCTCTTTGCTGCCTGATAATGAGGCAAAGACTGCAGACATTACCCACACCAGCAACGGTCACAGATTGGTTGAGATCATCACCATATGTATCTGTACCATCTCACTCCAGTCTCCAGCAGCAAAGTACAGCTCAACCTGGACACACCCCCTCGTTAATGCTAGCATTACTGCTAAGATCGGGGGCAAGATAGGGCCCAAAATGTCATAATACATCAAATGTGTTTTTATATGTATTTCCAATATTTATATTTATTTACTTGGTCATGAATTACCATAGTTATGGTTAATTTCTGCTGCCTTTCAGTTCTTATAATATTTTTTTTGAGAAGTCAGTGGGGAAAATGGATAGGTCCACTATTGAACTCCATGATCACATAGTGTGTAACTTCAGACTTGAATGTACTCACAACAAAGCACTTTAATGCAGGCTGCGTGCAGGTTGTTTTCAGCGCGGATCAAGGACCTCATGCCAATGACGAGGAGGTTTCCAAAGCAGGTGATGAAAGCTATGACCCAAACAGACACACGCAGCACCATGCTCGCCAAAAGGTCCTCAAAGGAAGAGATGCCATCAGTGTTGGGCTTACAGGAACGCACATGGGGAGCATATGAACAATACTGGAATGTCTTGAAGTAACTGCAATGAGACAAAAGGTTTGTACATGTGAGTCAAAACAACAGTGAGGGCAAAATATTTAACAGGAACTCGTAAAAAAATGGTGCAGTGGTTAATGCTCTTGCCCCACAGCAAGAAGGTCAAGGGTTTGAATCATGGACCGGATGGGATCTGTCTGTGTGGCGTAGTGACATTTTAAATGTCAAACATTATTATAGTCAACAAATTCCAGCTGTAAAGGAACTATTTGACAATTTACTAGGCCAATATCAATACAAGATGTTTCACTTATTTTATTTAAATCGTAAATTTTACAGTTTTGTGTGACATTTTATTTATCTTTTTTATTGTGCAGCAAGTGTCCTGGGGCATGTACTCACATATGGGAGAGGTTCTTCATTGGCAAAAACATCTTGGTCTGAATGTTTTGGATTTCGATTCCCTCCAAGGCCCTTAAACACACAATAATTAAACGCTACCTCCAGTGAAAGCAGTTTATCAGTTTATATGAGTATGAGTCTACTTACAGGGACTGGAGATGTGTCAGGTGGTTAAAGTGGCCAGAGTGGATACGCAACAGTGGATTATAGGAAATATTTCTACAGCAACAAGCACATGCAGGCAAAAATAATGATGACAAATACAGAAGAACATGCTAGCATGATATGTAGTTCAATACAAAATGCATTTCCTTTATTGTAATAAGTAAAGTAAGTACCTCACAATATCTTCCAAATAATTACAATAATTACAATACCTATCAACTAAAACACTGCAATAACTGAAAAATATTGGTTTAAATGCATAGTTTTTTGCTTGTTTCTGCTATTATCTGAGTCATAACCAGTATACAAAATATACTTTGAATACAGTGGCTACTCAAACGTCAAAACTATAAATGTGTACAATACAAGAAGAGAAAGCAGTGAGTCACTGCAGGTCAGGAAATAAGTTATTGGTAAAATCGAAATCTAAATAAAAGGAGACAGATCTGTTTTGTATTCTGTCAACAAGTAGGGTTTGTCATTTTAAAACCAAAGATACTCAAGCAACAAAAGTGATGTAAAATCTTTTCAGAATTGGGGTTTGTGTCAGGAGGAAGACAGAGTAAACATTTTCAAAACTGTAGACTGTAGAGAGCCCTAACTGAAATTGTAATGAAGAAAAAATAAATAAAACTTAAGATATCCATACTTAAAATGACTGTACCCTCCTGTTCCTTTGCCCATTGCAGACAAAGACACAAAACCAAGGTTGTTCTGTCAGACTTGGCCAGAATTGTTTTATAAATATTTCATTATCATCTCAATCACTGACTTTCAGCTTTGACTGCTCAATTCATTTGGCCTGACATAAAGGACACCTGTATCATTTCTTTGATTATCTTCTCTCCATTCACATAAAATTTCTTATCTTGAATCATGTTCAAAATGTTATTGTTATATACTATTAAATTATTCTGCTATTATTGTTTACTTAGACTGGTCCTATTGTGTGTGTTGTCCTTTTTACACATTTTTTATTTATTTTTTTAATCCAAAAGCTAGCATCATGTAGTATTTAATATAGATTTTGTCTATACACTTCTGTTAGCACAGAAATCCAGACTAACAGACATGCTCATAACACACTGTTTGATCAGTTTTGACACAGTCTAGACATAATTTTATATTTCATGTTTTCTCTTAGAATTTTCTTGCATATTATATCTGCGTCATGCTGGGTAACAAATTAGACAGGTCAAATCGGTTTGTTTATGTCACACATGAGTGGGAGATCAAACTAAAATCCAGAAATTGTACTTTTTCACAGAGAGGCTGAACCAAAACAAAGTGAATTTACTACATTTAAACTAATGATGATTGTTTCATAAGTGTCAATATCTTGATCCCCAAATGTTTTGCTGTATCACTATAACATAACTTAGATCTGACTGATTGTCAGTTGCCAAATTTGGCCTGTCAAATATGCCTGTGTGGATTATAATTTGATAAAGCATAGATAATCACGCTCTTGCTACAGTTTTATTGTATATTATTTTGATAAAGGTTAGTATCATAAGGTATGTAGTTTCTTACAGGCTTGGCCCAGTAAAAATTGGATGTTTATTTTACTTTTAAATAAATGTGTTGAATGTCATTTGAGAAGTCAGTTACACTGAAGAGAATCTCATTCAGTTTTTCATGCAGGTATGCTGTTTCATTTAAGATCTCTGGATTATGTTCTTACAACAAAGACTAAAATTACAGAGCATATTTTTAAATGGCACACACATGGCACCAAAATGTGTCACTACTAACACTTACCCTGGGCTCAAGCCAGATAGAATGCAAATAGTGCAGCTCTAATGTGGTAGCTGCAACTATTCCCAATAATTGCAAATAGCAAAAGGAGCTCAGAGTTCACCGCAGCCTTTTCAAATAAATAGTTATGGTGTGAGCACGTGGTCTGGTGTGTGCAGCTTCAAATGCAGTGACACAATAGCACAGCAGAGCACCAGTCCTCGTGTGAGTGTCACACTGCAATAACCGGTCTGAAACTGGAGTCACAGCTGGACAAGGTGCAATCTGACTGAGGTGTTATTCTGTTACTCTGACTTTCATGGCATCGTGAGTGAGTGGTTGGCTGCTCTTGGCGTTGGCTGCTCACTGAGCAGTTTTTAAAATGTTTTGTTTTTTACTATCTACTGTTGCACTGAATTATGGTGGCTGTGTGTAACACCATTTTTTTAATGTACCATAAAATTGACAAATAATTGAATCTACTACTAAATTTATGCACACTCATAAACATGAGATTTCTAAATCTAAATCTCTAAAAATCTAAATTTCAAAAGTTTTAACAATTAAATACCAAATAAAACAGAGTGTTTGTTGAATTTGTTCAGCACAGAATGAGTATTTATTTAGTTTTAATTTTGAATCTTCCCAAAACAGATGTTACTCACAGTTTGAGCAGGGACTTGGACAGGTTCTTGAAGGTGTTTTTGGACAGCTCTCTAATTCGATTACTGGACAAATTTCTGAGAATGGAAGAGGGATAGAAGTTATACAAAAAATGTGAACAAACATTTGTTTTGGTGAATTAGTCCATGAATACTAATATTAATACTGACAGTTCAGCAAGTTTCCACAAAGACTGAAAGGTATTTTCAGGGATACTGCTGATCTTGTTTCCCATCAGTAATCTGTACAAAGGTAAGAAAAAAAAACAAAACAAAAAAGAAACAAAAAACATTTATAATAAGTATCAGGTTAAAAACAGAGTATTGTTGTATGTCTTCTTTGAACTACAATTTGAATTTTTGAATATGTCTGCAGATGTCAGGGGCTGCCAGATGAAATTACAATGGCAACAAAAAATGCAAGAAAGACCAGACAAACTTAAGACTGAAATGTAAAAGCACAAATATTTTATGCCCATCGAACTAAACAGAAAACAAGCTGAGATCTAAAAATACAAAAACAAAACAGCCCAGGGAACACTTCCAACATCCAATAATTAGAACATCAAATTAGAGTTTTGTGCTTCAAATCGATTTTTGTCAAACTGTACAAAATTAAATAAAGTCTTGTTATGGAACCAATTACCACTTTCTATTAAAGTTGTACAAAGTTAGAAATATTTTAATATTATATTTTAATGTCAGAAACACTTCAGACATTTAAAGCTGTAATCTGTCAAAATTTATCAGAGGAAAAACATCTAAATATTGGAGAATCAGAGCCTTTGTTAAGACGTGTCTCTGATAAACCAGTCACAGCTTCACTCAAGACAAGCTGGTGCTATGCAAACAGGTGAATAAATGATGAAGTAAATGAGTTAATATCACAACATTCCAGTTAAATGAGGTTCATTTGGTCTTCCGATAATTTATGTTATTAGGCTCTTTTTCCAGACCAAGAGTTTTTTTTTCATACCTGTTTTGACTGCTCACTAGTGCTCTTCCTCAGTGTGGTCACGTGATATTGCTGTGATGTGTCTGGTCAGCTGATTTATACAGTTTTTGCCGCTATCTTCCTACCGGTAGAGATAGGATGACAGTGCCATCTGCAGTCCCACTTCCTCAGGACAGTATCCCAGGTGTGTGAGAGTTAAAAAGCCCCCTCGTCCTGGTTGATAGTTCCGTGGGTACATTTCTGTATTTCGATTGCCTCTTTAACCCAGTGACGGTGTTTGTTTTCCTCTGTCTCAGTGATGTTTGCTCTGACCCAGTCCATAATGTGCTCCTCTCTTTTACAGTGGTCAGAGATGGCCGATTTGAGTTCATGTTCTGCTTTGTATTTTGTTGCTCATGTGCATGCCTTCGCTGATTCCTTTGCTGCAGATGTCATCCTACCTGTTATCCTATCTCTACCAGTAAGAAGACAGCACCAAAACCTGTGTAAATCAACTGAACTGACACATCACAGCAACATCACGTAACCACTCTGAGGAAGACCGCTAATGAGCAATCGAAACTGTCAGGTATGAAAACAAACTCTCGGTCTGAAAAAAGAATCTAATATCACAACATTCCAGTTTAGGCAGTTTAGACAGTTCAGTTCCAGGTTTAGTTTCAGTTTAGTCCCTATCATAATGTGGGCATTCTACAAGTGTGAATGCACCCTTAATGAATAATCGCTCACTACAGTAAGAAGACTCTATAGTTGTGTCTTTGGTAGTAGTAGCAGTAGTAATTGTGATAGTTGGCCATTTTGATCTCAGTGCTTACAAGATAAGTAATCTGGTATTCAAAAAACTGTGTAAATAAATCACAGCTGTTTTAGTGTTAGTCTCCAAGAAACACATAGGCTACAACTTTACAATTTTACATAAACCAGATAGGAAACCATTCTCAGTTTTCCACTCTCATCCTCTCTCTTCCACTCAATCTCTTTCAGTTGTAAATGTGACAATATTGAAGTATGCGGCAGGTAGAAGGCCGCCTTCTCAATGCTTTTAAGGAAAATACAACTAACAATGGAAGAGTCTCCTTGGCAGATAACAAGAAGAGCTCAGATTTTTACAAATGAAAAAGATTACTCGGGGGAATCAAAACAAAAGCAGAAGCATACATCACTCAGTTTGGTTCTAGTTTCCAAATGGTTTCAAACATTGTTGTTCAAATTGAAAGCCAAGGAGAAAGCAAGAAGATAGAGCTACTTTTGAACATTGTTGGTATTTTTTTTTTCTAGGTTTGTACTCTACCACAATGATGTTAAATCACTGTCTTAAAATATATCAATATTTTCATATGGTCATAATCTTTTGGCTAATGAATGTGTAATGGCAATAGCAGTCCAAACAGTCCAAATTATTTCAGTCAAACCAGAATCAGGCAAGCTCCTCATTATAAGGCTATTGTGGTGAACCAAGCAATCACATGCAGCTGTTATGCAAAATCAAGTTTCCTTTGTATGCAAAGTGAAAAGTTCTTGTTGTAAACATATAAACTAATATCACGGCTTTTGTCCAAACTTCAAAAACTAAATAAAACAAAACTTACATTTAGAATACATAAGGTTCATTACTGGCCATGGACCAACAAAATATAATGTTGTGATGGTTGCCTCCTACAAAAGTCCATTCAGAGCCTCACACTCACCCTCACTGTTCACATGAATGAGAGATTAAAAAAAATAAATTGTTCTTTGTTTGAGAGTGAAAAAAGAAAGATTTATCTTGAATATTTAATTTGTAATTACAGCTCACAGTAAGTAATAACTGTAACTATGATATTTTTTAACCAAACACAGGAATTGATCAAGATCATTTTTACTTTTTAGAGACAACTACCTATTTGTAAGATGGATAGATGTATAGGATGCGCTCACGTTATAGTCATATTTGTCATATTTTCAGGTGGAAGGCTTAGAAATGTTGAATCTTTATTTGCCAGGCTTCACAAATTTGCCATGGTCATTTTTTAGCTTTAAGTCCTTTCAGCTTATAACAATCATATATTTGGGGTTGCATAATGACACCACTTTTTGAAAAATGCACATTTGATTTTTTATACTGACATAGAAGACAATGAACTTAGTAATTATTATGCCTATTGACATGAAATGAAAACTGTAACAGAGATATCAACCATAAACCAGGACAACACATCTGCAATAAAACAAATTTTGACCTGTCTGACCTGCTCAGTTTGAAACTGTAGCAATAAATCAATGTAAATAATAATCCTGCTTTCAGAGTAAACTGATGCGTGTTTCTCAGTAGGATTTTCTGGAGTGATTACCAACATTTGGAGAGTATGATTTGTTACATTGGAGCCATCGTAACTATTATATGACATTGAACATTAAAAATGTGCAAACAGAGAAAGTACTTACTTTTATACTTTTACAGACACAGTAGTAAATCACAGCTGGATAAAGCTGCTCTAAAATGTGATTTATATTTGCCCAAATGCACTCTTCTCTCTGCTCTGTACACAGGGAACTCTACAGTCTCTCATTTCCAACTGAGTTCAAGGACTTCACAAACTCATTTTTACAGAGGAGCAGAAAGGTAATGCCAGCCCCAAGCAGAGTGAACGGTCATGAAAGTATACATTTAAAGTACTCACAGTACTTCCAGTTTACTGCATGTCTTCAGGATGGAGTAGTTCAGGGTCTGGATCTGGTTTCCTTCAAGATCCCTGGGAAAAATAAACACTTTCTTGTTATAGTTGCAACAGTCAGATTTTCACAAACATTTTGGGTTAACCCTTGACTTTTTTTTTTAATCAAACCACATCAATGCATGTAAAAGTGTAAGTGCAAACCATGTTATTTCAATTTAAATCGCTCAAATGAAGCTCCCAAAACTGGCAATCTTTTGTGGAAATGTTTAAATATCTGTTTTCTTCAAAGTTAAAATGTCAAAGGAATTAGCTTTAAAAGGTTGTGTACTGTGGGATTTGAACGTAGAAGGTTACAGCGACTTGAATCCCGAGAGACCCCAGCTCAAAGACAGGAGCACTGAGATTGCCTTTGTCTCATCGTCCCCAGAACAAAGCCCTGCTCCATCCAAATGTTACACTTGAAATCCCATTTGATCCCTCACCTTCATCCTCAGCAGACTCCTCTAAACTCATTCACGGAGCAGTACATTTATGCAGCTCAGGTCTATCACTGAAAGAGGGGCCTAGCTATTTAAAGGAGTCAAATATAAGAGTGATTCCCGATTAAAACATGGCACACTAACTTATTCTATATGTATGTAGAATTGGATAAAAATTTGAATTAGTCAAAGAATTGTTAAGGTTTCTTTGCACACCTTATCCGTACAGACTGAAACTGTATTGTATTACTGTACGGTATAATAGGCCTGTCAAGATAACAAATTTTGAAGCATGATATATCAATTTAGAGATATGTTGCAATAAACAATAATACTAAAACTACTTTATGCCACTGATAACAATAACAATAGCATGAGATAATCTCAGTAAATCATTTTTAAATCAACAGTATCATTAAAAGGCCTGAGCTGCAACAATTAAATAACAAAATGCACAAATAATTGTCCTTATAACTTATTCACTCAACCTGCTACAGCCCAAATCTTATCTTATTACAACAAAAAATTTGCAAAGAAACTGTACACACTAGGGATGTAACAATAGCTGAAATATCATGATATCGTATCATCAAAGTTCTCACAATAATATTGTGGACATTCACAATATATCAAATTACAAGTCTCTTTGCTTAAATTAAGAGTTATGGTGCAGCAGTAGTTAAAAAAACAGAGGGAACTACAGAGACCATGATACTTTGTGCCATTTCAGTGTAGACTACAAGACGAAATAACAGTTCTAAGCACTTTTAAGTCTTAGTTTTTTTGGATTAAGTCTTGTCAAGGCATTTAAAGAGGAAAAAGTAGCATATTAACAGTTTTGTTAACCTCCACAAAATATGGCAATAAATATCGTACAGTGAGATGTATATTGTGAAAATATCGTACTGAGAGATCTGGATACTGTTACATCCCTAATCATGAGCCTCGTGAGACTTGGATATCATTACAACCCTTGTACACACTATAAATATTGAGCTAAAAAATATATGAATCCAGCTTTCATATACTGAATGATAAATCAATATAATAATTATCGTGACAGGTCTACTATATAATCTTGTTTTTAGAGTTCCTTCCCAGGTTATGTCATATGTAGCGGTACTCACAGCCAGTCCAGGGAGGGCATGTGCTGACAGAAGCTGGGGTGAGGCAGCTGCTTAAGGGACATATCCACCATCGACCTGTGGAGATCCAAACATCACGGCTCATTTTCTCAGAGACAAAATCAAATTAAACTGTGCTTTGGTGTACCTGCCTCCTATAGTGCTATTATCCTGACGTCCTTATATCTTTCCTTATATAATCAAAGTTAATGCTATAGTTTAATGGTGTGATGGAATAAGGGAGTGTGGAGCATTACATGAAATGGTGCATTATAATGATAAGTAAGCTAGTGATAAAAGTTTGGACATCAAAGGCCCATAGGATTCAGTTCTGTGTTAAAGGTGCACTGTGTAACCACCACCAACTTGTCTCATCTGCTTTGTCTGGAATGTTTCATGTTATAACATTCAATTCTATTTTAGATATGTTAAATTAAACAGTTTTTTATTGTTCAAAAATACCTTAAAAACATCAAACTAATCTGTAACCTATCCTGGTGGTGTCACTTGTTTGTGATGATAAGTTTAATGCCATACAGTGGAACATTCCAGAAAAAACAATAACATCTTTATGGTGGACACTGCACCAGAAAAAGTTACACAGTCCTTTACCTGTTTTTTGGTTCATCCCTTTTAATTTACCCATCTTTGGGACTGGTATAAATAATTTGTTGATGCTATAAGTTTGTGTACACCAAACAAAGACCAACCCAAGAGACAGATACAAATGTTACTTGTGTTTAACTATTTAAATTGCAAATATTGAATGCAAATGAATCTGAGAAATGTACCAAAGGTGTAGACAATGTGCAGAAACAAGCATCCATTAAAAACATGTGGTCCAGCAGCATTTGCAATTGAAAAGAACAAGGAATATTGCCAAATGAGCAAACCAAATTAACAAGACCATCTGATATGAGACTGAGATAGAGAGGAACACAGACGAAACATGTGGGGGGGGATTAAATGAGTTTTGATCTGATGGAAATTTGGTATTGTCTTGTTTTAGATCTCGGTTTGAACAAAGTTATTAAAATGAATGAAAAGTGTGTATTTTAGTAATGTACAAATATGAACAAACCTACTAGAACATAAAATATCTGTATGGTAATAGCTGCAAACCAGATATGTTTTTGTTGGTTTAGGTAACAACATTTTAGCATAAAGCTTACAAGAACCCATTGTGTATAATATAGAAAATTTAATTAAAACTGTTGTACTCACAGGTAAAGAAGAGACTGAAGACCAAAGAATGTGTCCGATGACAAACTGGTTACAGGGTTATGGTCCAATATCCTGCAACAACAAAGACACATTTGTAAAACCAACAAAGCAGATCTTTTTAATAATCTGAATTTCTTGGCCACTTTATTAGATACATTTGTTTTGAAGTTTCTGAAGCCAGTATCATGATGTGGTCTTGTCTTTTTTTCTGGCACAAATTTACTTGCACTTCAAACCTGTGCAGTCATTCTCTCCTGACTTCTAGCATCATGAAGCCATTTTGCTCAGACAAACCACTTAAGTTTTTGAATATAGACATATTTGAGTGTCTAGTATTCTCAGACCAGAGGCTCTCCAAACCTGAAAAATGTCTCATGTCTTCCTCTAAATGCGCACACTTACTGCCATGTTTGAGGATTTCATATTTGTATTTGTCTCATGTAAATCTGCACGATCAAATTTACCATTAAGATGTTAGGAGTCAATTAACAATATTACAGTTTACATCATGGCATATTGCACATTACAGTACCTCTGCGGATGATATTTTGATTCAATGCTTCTTTTTTCCCCACCCACTCCCTCTATTGGTTAGCCTCTGTCCTGCTCTAAATGATTGACAGGGCGAAGTAACCAATGACAGTAAAGTGTGAACTCATGCATTCTCAACTCATGCAACTCTTACTAAAATAGTATGGTGTCACTAAAGATGATAACTTGATAATATTTAAGATGAGGATGCTCGATCTAACTTAATCTGCTTGTCTCCATGGAGATGCTATTACTTTGCCTTAAATGTTCTGCAGTAGGGTATTAAACTCATCCATCACAAGTATTCTGTGAACTTGTGAAATAAATTTTTGGAAAATTGCAGCCAGTAGAAACACAGCTATCTTGAACAAAAAATCTGGTTGAGCTGTATTCTGTTTTAAAATTATTCCCAAGAACAGTAACATTCAAATGAACCTCTAAAAACTACTGTCCTGTAGTTGCATAAAACCAGTTCTGCTGAAGACTTGTGCTCCACTTTAGCTCCATCAAATCCCCCTAGATCCATAAACTTCATGTGTGACCACTTTATTCTGAGTGCTGAGTTTGTGGTACAAATAGTTATTACATGGACAAATAAATGCATCTTTCTCTGCAGTGTTTCTCGTAAACAACTGATTTAATGTGCAACAAGGGCTTTGTGCTCAGGAAGGACGAGGAACCACAAATAAAACTGTCAAAGGCGCTCCATGTGAGAGGAGACTGGCTCCATCGACCCCAATTCACTTAGTGTTGAAAAAAAACTTTACCCCTCTCTCTCTAACTGCTGCAGTCAGGCCCCTCATTTTGATCTTAAAATGTTAAAATGGTCCTGGGGTTTCTATTTTGCTATTTTGTCCGAAAATCTATTTTTTTTCCTAATATGAAACTTCATTTGACTGGAGCCGAACGCTTTGGGTGACACTCTCGCTTAGTCAATTTCTTTATACAGTCTGTGGTACGTACATAGATATTAAAAACAAGTACCAATTTTTTTCTGTCACAAAAAAATGCCTGTACTTATCCTCACAGTGAAGTTGTTTAATTGTCAATTTCTTATTATATAATTATCACATCGCAAAGACAATAGATAAATATTAGATCAGACTGTGCAGCTCTGTTGTACCTGTAGTTTGACCTCTACAAACATGTTCTGAACTTCATGGGATTCTTGTTTTAGTCAGTGGTCACAGAGTTGTTTAGAAAAGTTGCTGGAGGCTCCGTGAACTCTTCCTATTTGAAATGCATCAGCTATCGGGTTAGCTATGTCCATTTATATATACAGTCTATGTTTTTTTTTTCCCAAAGTAGATCCATTTTAGTCAGTGAAATGACCAGATTGACTGACACTGTGGTATACACCTGTGTCTTGTCAGTATTTTTCAGTATCAGTGGTACGAAATGTGTGTCATCGGTGCTACTCACAGCCACTCTAACTGATGCAGGTCCTTGAACACACCAGGACTCAGGGACGAGATCAAGTTTTCACTCAGAAACCTGCCATAAAACACAAAGAATAATGAATATACAAGAGACCACACAAGGACAAATCCGAGGAAAACTGTAGTCATCATTTACCGCTGAAGCTGTAAATGTCACTAGGACTTTACAACAGCTATACCTCAGTACATCAGTCATACTTATTTGTTTGATACGTTCACTTAGAGTTACTGCACAACAACAGTATAAGATTTATAGGCAATACTGATTTACTTTCTCTGTCAAAGTAAAGAACAGATGAAATCACAGATCTAAATGATGGCACACTGTCTAAATCAAGTTAAAAATATTTTTATTTTTGGTTAAGTCTAGCCATTTTAGTTCAACTTTCATCTTAATTTATATTGTTTTGCTATGCATTGTTTTCAGAATGATGTAAAATTAGCCATAGCAATACAGAATTTTGAATAGTATGATTGCAAAGGCCTATACAAGAAGTTTTACCAGGCTCAAAGTAGATCTTATTAAAAAACAAAAAACACAAAATTGATTGTTCCCTCTGGGCTACCATAGTAATCTTCTGACAGCCTAAGTGAATAAGTCTAGTGGAAAAACTTGAATTTCCGCACCAGTCATCACTAGGAAGAACATACAGCTCGTTTTAATCCAACACCTCAAGGAAGTGCAAAAAGAAACCCCATTTCACTGCATACTGATAAGAAGTTCAGAATCAAAAATGTATTTCAAAAACCTTTATATATATATATATATATATATATATATATATATATATATATATATATATATATATATATATATATATATATATATATATATATATATATATATACATATATAGGAACACGAGAAGCTAGAGAAATACCAGGGGCTCAAGGAAGAGCTGGAGAGAGCCTGGAAAGTAAAGGCATCAGTGGTGCCTGTGGTGATCGGACACTCGGGGCTGTAACCCCCAAACTGGAAAGAGTGGCTACAACAGATACCGGGAAAAACAACGGACATCTCAGTCCAGAAAAGTGCAGTACTGGGAACAGCAAAGATACTGCGCAGAACTCTCAAGCTCCCAGGCCTCTGGTAGAGGACCCGAGCTCAATGAGGGTGAGAGAGACCTACCACCGTGGAAGGTGAGAAACACATTTTTATATATATATATATTCTATACCATAACTTATTATACCGGGGGTTTTCAAATTGGGTGAATGTGAATCCACCTGTCCCCAAAATCCCATCCGCCTGCCCTCGCCCGCACAGGCCTTTGAAGTAAATAAATCTTTTGTGTTTCTGGCAATGATGAGTTTCAATAACAGCTGATAATATATTTTTTATATTGTATTTTCTTTTTTTTTTTTTTTTTTTTAGAGTGCATTCATAAACAATTTTTGCTACAGCAAATAATTTCCAACTTCATGCAGGCCTGAACATCAATAGGCTGACAACACCTGATATCTGAAATCGGCGCGTGTATGGGCCTTATATTAAGCACAAAATAGCAGGAAGTAGGATGTTTCTCCAATGTTATGGGAGTTACATGCTGCCATTCCGACAGTGACGTCTAATTGTCGGAGTGGCGGCATTTCCATTTTTTATCAAACGTTTATTTTCCTTGGTTGAAATGGCAGCATGTAGCTTTTTTTTTTCAAATTCTGCCATTCCGACACAAGGTAATTATTAAGTCACGGTGGCGCTGTTTTCAGGACAATATTTTCATGGACTGGCTGCATAGAAGGCGTGGTGGTACGTACATAGATATTAAAAACATGGGAGGAGACGCGATAGGTGCTGCCTGGTTTAGTCCTGGTTAAATCCTGTTTTAATTCTGATTTAGTCACAGTTTTAGTTCGGGTTTAGAGGCGCGACCAGTGCAGCTTATGGGAGGAGGTGCGGTCCACGTGGCATATACAAGGTGATGCTCCAAACTAGAGTAGGTCGTCAGAATGGCCACATAATTTGACAGCTAATACACGCACGCTCAGTTACCGAAATCAGTACTGCTGCAGATGTGTACAGATGTGGACCGTTATTTTTTCTTTGCGAGTGTGTTGCACCGCTCCAGTGTGCAAACCCCAGGGGAGGCAAGCCTCATCTATTGTAAACCGCTGTACTACTGTGTACCATACAAAAATTAGCTATAAATGCTTTACTAGACTGTTCTAACCATATATTATCCATAGAAAAAGACAAATACTCACAATCTTTTCAAACTGTAAAGGCCACTGAAAGCATTTTTGGAGATGAGTTGCAGACTGTTGTTTTGCAGGAACCTAGAAACAAGAAAACACATGTATTGTTTTCCATTCAAAAGCTCTGGCAGCGGAGTTGTAGAGGTCAGTGAGAAGGATTGGCTGGGGAGAACTGGATTGCTTTCCTCTATTGTCTCTTGACAATGACAAAATTAAATTGTCCATTGCTGGTGGTGACTCTACTGCAACTTACTCAATTATGAACAAGTAATAATTTCTGTTAACCTTTTGTAAGGTTAGTCATTTTAAAAGGTCAAGTTAAAGATATGAGTAGACACTTAAAGAAAGGAGAGTCAGATAGTGAAGATAGTGAATAATGAGGTGATAGAACAGACTCAAGCTAGTATTTTACGATTTGAAGTTTATAATAAAATTTGAACTTTTATTTGCATTAAAATCCAGGTATAGGTAGGTAGGTATGAAAAAAATGAATGAATGGATGAATGGAAGAATGGGGAAAACATCATCATATTTTGGCTTCATTTAGCCTCACAGCCAGAATGAACTCAACCATAGTGTCAAAACCCTGCCAGTGGCAAATTTTCCGCTCCCAAGTTTATTTTAAAATGCAAAATATTTTTTTTCTCCAAGCATGATTTTGTTTTTGTGTCTAAACCTTTCCCCATTAAATCTGCCTCCCCAGTCCACTCCGCAACAGTGTTCAACTCAGACCAGGGCACAGCTTCAAATGTTTTCCTTCAACCATCTGCTTATTAAAACTTTTTATTATTATTTTTTTTCTGCCTCTGCCACTTTCATCAGCCCATTGCCTTTTGTATGCCTATGTATCTGACACAAACTGCACTCTCAAGACAACACCTGCAGGAGTTCATGTAACTATTCGTGAAGGAAAAGTACTTGGAAACAATATACAAACAAAGACAGATTAAATTTAGGAGTGCAGAGTTTATTCTTTCTTTTTACCTATAAATACCAAATAATATCAAATCTTCAGATAACACTCTCACTCACTAACTTCTCTTTTCTGTTGTTGTCTCAGAAAATCTAACTGAAATGATAAATCGACTAACACACAATCAACAGATGAATCGACTAAGTGACTAAAGGACGGCAGTCCAACTTCCTTCACTGTTTTACATTTGTGTTTTCACCTTGAAACAAACCAGCAGCAACCTCAGATCAATACACCAATTTATCACACATTCAAATTCAGCGAAGGGGCACGAGGCCAACTCTATGCACAAGGAATTTACATGTGCAAGGAATTTAAAAGGAATTCTTTAACAAAACAATAAAAATCACCCTGTTAAAATACTGATTTGTATTAACTATTAACATTCATTTATCCAGAGAACCTCACAAAAACAAGATTTATTAGCTATTAGGATAGTTAGTTGATCTTTCAAGAAATATATATTGACTCCAATAAAAGCATGTTTTTAATGTCTTGTTAAAAAAATAGTGGGTTTAGTGTCATTGTGAAACATATATCGGTTATTGAGCACTATACTAACTATAACTAACATACGAATAGAGCTTTGGAGTTTCCCTGTTTGCTCTAGCTTTGATGTAATGTATTGAAATTTGTCTGGTATATATGATAAGACATAACTTATAAATTAGTTTTGAGGGTAGTGAACTATTTTGGTCTTATTCGGCAAAGCAAGGTCAAGATCAGAAGGCATTTCAGGTGTTTTCAGGGAACTCTGATGGAGATTTGATTAGATACTTACAATCTCTCCAGTGCAGAGTACTCAGAGAAGACATAATCTGACAACTTCTTGATTTTATTACTTCTGAGAGACCTGAAATCAAGATGGCAAAGTTAGTAAAAAACATAGCATTGTATAGTCAGGGTTCTTAGCTACAAAAACATGTAGCCTTTATATGGGAAAGACTAGAGGCATAATGAATACACTGAGAACAGATTTCGTCAAAGCTGATGAACTATTTATGTCTTTATTGTGTAGTACTATGGGGTCCCTTTTTTGCCCCTTGACTGCATTTATTGCTAAGTGCCTATTTTCAAAGCAGATGTTTTAGTTTATTAGCCTGAATCATCAGCCAGTTTCACTTAATGGAAACCGCCTGACCTCGCAGCATTAGGATTCATTCACTCGACAGTAGGCGGGTACTTTTTTTATTTAACCAATCACTGCTGTTTGGTTGTGATATATGTAATGCACCAAATCCTGTAGGAAGAAGGGCAATAACGTCTTTCCCCTTGATAAAATTCATCAAACATTCTCTTTGTTCCGACTTTAAATCCTCGATCTCGGGAATTTGCCAACACAGATTGCATGACTTTGTCTACATCCATCTCAACCACTTTGTTTACTGTTGTGCTGCACCACAAAAGGAACCCAGACAGGTGCTTCACAGCTCTTTGCTGATTGGCGAAGAGCAATCTAAGCCAAAGTGTGCGGTCTACAACTTCCAGGGTTCATGCAAACCGTCCATTCCTGACCTAGTCACTGGAGAGAAATGAAATTAAGCAGAGGCACTAGGTGTCAGGCCCTTATTCCCTTAAGCAGTAGTTTTTACAGCAAGCTTCTAATAATCTACCTTGAGAAAGCCAAATAATTAGTGTGTCCTATTGAGTATCTAGGCCAGGGGTCTCCAACCTTTTTCCTCTGGTGAGCTACATTTATGGAAATGTCAGAGAGCTACTCATTTTAGTGGTTGCAGGAAACTGAGTAAATATCAGAGCCTTAGATGGGGTACAGTCTGATGTGATGCCTATAAGACATTTACACAACTATTATCCATTTATTAGTGCACAAAGACAGGAAATTATTTGTTTACAATGGTAATGGGCATTTAATGAGATAAAATTTTAGTTATTCAGCACAATACAAATGATTCAGAAATCCCTGGGAGAGCTAACTGGAAGAGGGTGGGGAGCTACTGATAGCTCCTGAGCTACAGCTTGGAGACCCATGATCTAGGCATGAATAACAACCTCGCAGCTCATTCTAAACTTATTAATGCACATATTTGATTTGTTTACTCTACTGACCACCAGTCTATCCTCTGTTTTGTCTGTGTTTTGATATAAGTCCCTTGAAAAAAAAAGTTTGGTTTATAGTTTCTTGTCATTTCTGTTGATATCAGCACAGCAGAAACAAAAGGAGACGGATTCACTTGTAAAAAATGTCTAAACTTGAAATGCAAAAGTACGCAAAAAAGTTCCCAAAGAAACAACCTGTGAATGGAAAGTGCTGGAGTGGGAAAAAGCAATATCCCTTTAACATTATAATATTAATAATAACTTAAATCAATGTAATTTTCAAACAGTGCTGCTTACTTTTTCATTGTAAGCTATTGTTCTGAGCCTTTCACATTCACTTCATGTTTTTGCACTTGACAGCAGCACAACAAACTGTTATTTACATTCGAGTCTGATGTAGATATTTTCTTTTATTTATTTATTTAATTCATGAAGTATAAAAAGACATCAATAGTGTCATAACATTAAACATACAAGAAATTAATGAAAAGGAGCGGAAAGACGAGTTGTCAGAAGTTGAACTAAATTATTTGCTTATCTTTGGTCCACAAACTTGCATTATTAAATGTACTGCTAAACTGTTAACTTGCACCTGTTAACAGGACATTAGCCAATTTTCAAACTGCCAAAAGAGTAAGTACTCATTTAAATCTATCTTAAGTAACTTGTTCCAAGCGCCAACAAACTATTTGGCACATTTCACATTATTTTTGGACACATGCACCTCTTCAGAACAGATGGTGGAGCAGGGGTAGACCACAGATTCAGCTGTAGGAACATTAACTTATTTTGTCTTTGAGATATAATAATTTATTATTAGATGCAGGCTGAACACAGCTGTCTTGCATTGTGACACAGTAATGCGCTTACTTCATGGGGAGAGAAAAGTTTACTCATAAAGTCAGTTACTCGACCTTTATGAAGCAATGCTAACACAGAATTCCAACATGCTTTCTCAGTTTTAAACTATGGGTTGTCATTTGAGCCTGACTTATTTATTGTAAAACAAAAGTACCCACCCAAACCCACATTTACCCATCTATAACAGGGCAGCAACATCCAAACAGGAGCTAATTTATTTTCATGCGTTTTTGAGTAAATTTATAGAGTGAAACAAATGAATGGTTTTGTAAGAGTCTATTTTATGAGAAGGAAACCACATTGCTGTTGAGATCAGACAGATTAAGACTTGAGCCTGAGTAATAAAACAATTCTCACGCTTCTTCTTTTACCACTTTTAACAAGAAATACTTTAATGTATTTTGAGAGAGGGGGAATTTTGACTCACAGTGGAGCTACAAATATATATGAATTGCTGTAAATTAATTGTTTGTCTAGATTTCTTCACCCATTTCTAAAGTGGACAATAATACGGGTTGTGTATTTAATGTGTGTTATAGTAGCAATAACAGTGCAGTGATCCTTAGAGAAGGATTGTACTTTCAGCACCTTATATTAGTATTAACAAATACTAAATGTGACATTTTTCCATAGAGCTGTGCTAGACAGTGCTCTCCAAAATAAATCTGAACAAAAGTGTTTTGTTTGATGCTGGGTTTCAGATGACGTAACAACATTGTATAAGCCAATATAATTAATACAGATGGGGGGGCAGCTAAAATGATTATTGCTAATTGATGATTGATGATTTGTTTCGTCATACAGTGATTTTTGGTGCATCATTTGTGCATTTTTTTTTAGATATTTGATGACAAAGTACAATGTAATCAATCGAAAAACTGGCCCTTGCCCCCCCATCTGGGAGTACAGCATCATTACATTCTACAGAAAACTACCAGTAGGACATATTGATTGCTTTACATTTATTCAAACATACAGGTCAGCCCAAATCATCTGTGAAACATCATTATTAGTAAAACATAATTTTTCGTGCATAAAGGTCAGATTGGAGAAGAGAGATACTTACAGCCAGGTGACATTTGGGGACAGTCGTGGGACGTCCTGTAGCCCCACCCTCACACACATGACTTCTGTCACAACACACTCACAGCTCTCTGGGTACTCCTGCAGCACTGGGAGACACACATTCACATTTATGGACATTAATTCCATAACAAAACCAGGGTGAAAGTGCAAGTTAGTTCCTACAAAAACAAATACAAAATGTGTATGGCCAGTACACATCACTATAATGTATTTCTTTGTCAACATACAGTGTGCATACTGCACAGTTGATGTCGTCAGTATTCCCTGGGGGCGTGATGCTTACTGAAGGAATTACTCTGTCTGACTTAATCTGATCTTTGTTTAACACAATCTGACCAGACATAGCTGATTTAATTGGAGCTAGGTCGGATCTCTCACACAGCTAACAGTTTTTCAGTTAGTCACTCTCACCCTTTTGTAGAAAATCAAACACCTAAACAGGATCATGAATGCTTGTATTCATCACAGGCTCCTGAAAATGTGCTGTTTAAATCCATTTTGTATTTATTCTTAAGATTTCAGACAGCAGTGTTTGCTAAACTGTGCATTATGTCTCCAGGGTAACTCCTGAACATTCCACCATAGAAATACATGTACAACACCCCCAGCGTGATGTCACTGCAAAGTATCAATACATGGAAAGCGCTGTGTGATTTTTATCTGTGAAAAGCACTAGACAAATACAATTTACTTACTTACTTGATTGTTACATGGTTTTACTTTTTCATTATATTTTGCTTTACCTGTGTTTACAGTGTTGTCAATAGAAAAATGCTTCACTCACAGCAGTCAGTGAGGATGTAATATTCCACTGGACTGATGCTCTGCAGAGTTTGTCCGAATAAGTCTGCCCAGCCTGCGTTGTCCCCTGTCAAAGAGGAGATTAGATGTAACTAATAGAGGCATTTACAGTACTGGCACTGATACTTGAAGCAAAGTCAAGGAGCGTATAACAATTTCATCATATTCAGACTTTGATAACAACGACTTGAGAGTGACCCACAAACATGTTTTATATTGAAATTAACTGTATGCTTTTCTCCTCATCTTCCTGGCACTGAGACCTTTAAGCTTTTATAATCCTGCCTGATATCAGATTCTCCTGGAGCCTCCAGGCCCTAAAGCCCCTCTCAGACCCTACTGCTCTCAGGCCGATAAACAAACTTTGATGTGAGACGTCACTGCAGTTCTCAGACAATTAGCGACCAAATGTGCTCACAATGAATACAAACCAGAATCTCAAGCTGTGAACTAAGTTTTGACAGAAAGTCACAAATGCTAATGTAGATTAACTAACAGTGTTTTCTTGTAGTATTTGACACAGATGAGTTGTATGAGCTATTTTTCACTTTGACTTATGTAAAATATTTTGTAATAATACATTTTTATAAACATGCATGTGCACACCACGCTGTCCACCTCTTCTATAGTTATGTGGGGTATCGGCAGAACTTTCACCTCACATCAACAAGAAGGTCCTGTCCAAGGTTCGATTCTTGGGCTTTTCTGTGTGGACTTTTGCTTGTTTCCAGTGGGTGTGCTGTTTTCTCCAACCACTAACACGTGTACAAACCTGTTTGGATAAATAAATAAATAAAATATCCTCTACTGTACTTTTATTGTGCTACAATTAATCTGACAAGTCCACACAAACCCCAGTTTTGATGATAACCTATGTAAACTGTCCCCGGAGCATTGTGGAGGTTAAAGGGCTCATTCAACTCTTTTATGATTCAGCGATACACATGGGGGCAATGGAGTATATTTGATAATAATCATAATAATAATAATGCATCAGTTTTATGTAGTGCCTGTCTGGACACTCAAAGACACTTTACATCATTATTTATTTACTCCATACCCAGTGGCAGACTGACAGACTGACACACACATCTGAGTAGTTTTTGTTATGACTTATGCTCGGCTATTGTCAGGGAGGTAGCAAAAACCAAGATGAAAAATTGCATAAATAAAGTAATAATTTAATAAACAGGATTGTAAAAGGTAGAATAACAACAGTGGTCTAAAATATCTACACAAAATAATCTAAACAAAGAAACAAAATATCTGGATTAACATAGAAAAAGGTTTTGTGCCAAAAAACAGGTCATAAAGGTCTATAGAAAAAAAACAAAACAAGTGACTAAACTAAGGGACACATAAAACAATTAAATCATGAGTGTCCCAAAATCAAGTCACATGAACCCACAAACATAATCAAGTGACAATTAAAGAGATGCAAAAAAGGACTAAACTAAACTTGTTAAAATCTAAATTCTTGCAGTTGTACGTTTACCCATTCACTTAAGCACTTTGTTGCTTTTCTCCGTGGAAATATTATTACCTAGAATATTTCATAATATGGTAACCTCAAACCTCTATCTTGGATTTATTAAATTACAGGAGTTATTTATGGCAAACATGCATTCTTATTACCTCCGCCAAGGAGGTTATATTTTTACCGGCGTAAAAGGAAGAAATCCTGGATTCTGGATCACTTTGAAATTTTAGTTAACATTGTGGTAAATGGGGCCAAAAATTTTGTTTCTCAATATCTCGGTTAATTATTGACCAAACCCCATGAAATTTGACTCAGGGATGGACAATGGGATCCTCTTTCATATTCCAAAGGCTGATCCGGATCTGATCCAGAAGACTGATTTTATCGCAATTTATATAAAAAATGGGGGTAGTCCTTGGTGGAGGTCTGCGCTCTCTGAGTGCTTTTCTAGTTGAGAATGGGCTCACCTATCCATGGAAACAAACAGGTAGCAGCAAAAGAAAAGTTACATAGTGCAACTTAAAATACTGCAAAAGTGTTACATGTAGTGGTGGTCCTGTACTGGTTTACTCCCCAGGCAAGACCCCCTCCCAGTTGGTCATTACTTATCTGAATGTTTACCCATTCACAAAAGCTGCTCATTCTGGTTTAGTCTTATGTGTCAAAATAAATAAACTTCAACCTTTGAAGTTTGTTCAACCTTCCTTTTTGTTTTGACCTTGGGAAATCCAACTCAGCAGGGACCAATATTTAGAAGAACAAGGGCTATTCTGAGTGCGCAGCATCCGGCTCATTCTGTAAACTAACAATACTCAATGGGAATAGTTTTTATGAAACACTATCTCAGTGTTACGATCTATCTGTCTTTGGCCTGAAGCAAAATTTGATCCTAAATCTCACAATGAATTAACACGTTTTCAACAGATTGATAAATACAAAGAGTGTATCTTTCTGACAGCCAAAACAAGAGGGAGCAAATCAAGTTTATGAAGTCATTTTGAAGCATACCAAATATTTAACAGGGTAATCTAACAGTGTGAGTGGTATCTTTTGGTATCTACTCACAATGCAAACCAATAACAAGAGAAAATGCATAGTACTCTGAAACTACAAATTCAAATAAACACTTGGAATGATTTGTTCAAACAAATATCCAAAAGGCTGTGCAAGGAAACATAATTGAAATTAAAAAATATATAACTGACAACTTTAATGGATCTAAACTGATGGAATAAAAATGGAACAAATCAAAATTACTGAACAACAATGGAAGTTAAAAGTGCATTGCTTCACTTTTTAATGGAGGGAACGCCATCTGCCTATTTCCATGAATATGTCACTGATTGAGTTGAATGTTTCACAAGAAAGCATTAGAAGTATCAAGCTCCAATCTCCACACTAACAGGTCAAGTTGCAGGTCAGATATGGGGAGCGGCAAGCCTGCTCACTATAAAATTTTATGTTTTTCTATGCATTTTTGAACAATAAAAACACCTGCTATGAAATACATGCATACATATAACTTTAACACCATGAAACATTCGGCTCCGCTACGTGTTTATCGAGACAAGCAGGTGTCAAGAAAAGTTACGCAGTGCACTTAAAAGTAAAAAAGAATATTGGCAGATCATCACTTGTCCAAACGTGAGGCAAAACTGTGGGAAAATCAAAACAACAATGCAAAACTAAAGATAGGTGTTATAAAGTGTTCGTCTGTCACTATCAATTTAAACATCAATAATTAATCTGCTTGCACTGATAGTTTTGTATTGTTGTTCTGCTCATACTGTATATTTCATTTCTATATCAAAGTGTATTTTTATGAGCCTTATTATAATGCAGTACTGAGACTCACCACAGCGTCTTTCATCTGCGCCGTTGGGACAGTCCATGTGTCCGTTGCATTGTAAAGCCTGGGGCAGACACAGGCTCATGTTTCCACAGGGGAACTGACCCAAAGGGCACTGCACATCCAGCTCTCCATGCCCCAATGCTGACGCTGCAATAACAAAGAGGAGGGACAGTAAGACCTAAGACCAAAGAAATAATAGCTCAAAAATATGGTGGAAAAAAATGCAAGATGCTGCAGGTGAAAAGGAAAAAAATCTTGAATTTTGAGATAAATTGAAACTTCTCCTGTAGTTTACTTACATAAAAGTGAGAAAAAATGTAAAACTAGTTTTAACCATACTGTATTTTCATAAACATAAGGGATTTTATGTGTACAAACAGCAAAAATGTTCTATATTTGTGACATTTAAAATAGAAACATAGACAGAGCCAGGTTTAATCTTAGTCTTGCATCACACAGATACAAAGGTGACTGAGAAGCGTAGTGTATGTAAATGTTGCATCAAAACTGGAATTTCCCTCAGTATCAATAAAGTATTTTGTTGAGATGTTGGATACAAAAATATTTACAGACAGAATTTTGGATATCTTATTTAGTGTTTGAGAAAACTTACTGAAATTCTGCCTAAAATTTCTAATGTATAAAAATCAGGCTTGTAATTAAATATCAGTAAATCCCTCTGTACGTTTCTTCAAAATCTTGTTAAGTACAATGATATAACTCATAATTCTAGAGCTACAAGTTGATGACAAGAAATAATAAAATATTTTTTGGTGCACAAGCTTACATGTTGAGAGAACTGACCAAAAAACCAAGAACGAGTTTTGTTTGTAGTGTCTCCCCTTAACTGCTGAGAGATATGACTACATGGATGAATTATGTGCTGTGACTGGAGATAAGAGTAAATAGAAAGTTATCATCCATTATCAGTTTGACTCTTTTTAATCATGATGTCTGCAGCCAGTCCTCTGTCTGCAACATGTCGTCTGGAGCAGAAGTCAGATGCTGGAGGAAGAAATTTGACTTTTTTGGGTGTTAAATGGCAATGATTAAAAGTCTGTATAGATTATGTTTAATAAAAGTACATTGTCTAACTTTTCTAGTGGAGGGTCTGCCAAATGCTTTTCTCCATGGAGATGATAATGCTTTGTCTGAAATGTTTCACAGTCAGACCATGTTACAGGTTTTTTGTTTTTCTAGGTATTCTTGAGTTATATAAAACCACCTGTGGCTTAATAAATGCAGGGTAGAACAGTTTCATGTCATACTGTGGAACATTCAAACCAGAGCAATGACATATCCATAGAAACAAGCAGGTGACAGACCCCCAACCAGAAAGTTAGACAGTGCACCAAGAGTCTTCACCTAATGTGCTGCTTTTCTGTCTTTTCTGACCAGTTTTGAAGTAGTACTGTGATCAAACACCACTCAAGAGCTTTTGCTGATCAAGGATGGAGTTTCCACATTGCTGTCAACATTGTAATTTAAAAGAGTGGATTTTTGTGCATAAAGTAATTAATTGTGTGTTTTGGTTTTAGTGAAGTTGATTGTACAGTCAAAAAAACAACAACAATGGCTAGTGAAATACATTCATTTCCTCAGCAGATTTTCTAAAGCTCACAAATAAAAGATACGGCTATTAATGACAATCATTCTGCAAAAATATTGACATTTATGCTCTAAGATGAGACATACAACGATATGAATTAATCAAACAACCGCACTTACCATTTTAAAATATTGGAAGAATTATTTATTGCAAGTTCCAATCCAAATATTTGCTCTGAGGTGGTTTGGGATATTCATTAAGAGTGAGTGTAGTTTGTCTCCCCTGTCAAAAAGTTTTGGAGTTTATGACAATTACATTTGTTTTTAGATCAGAGATCCAGCTGCAGAACTGACAAAGAGTTCTTCTGTCTTTCTGGTAACAGCCTGAACTAACTGACTCTCATGAGCTGAGCCAATACAACCAGATCCTACTTTGAAAGAGGAAACAGACAAAATACTTTGACTAATGTGTGACATACTGGTCCATGATCCAACTATGAGCTCAAACATTTTGTTAAACTTTCACACAAAGTTTCATAAAATTTTATGAAATGTGTATAAAGGTAATTCTTGAAAGTTATTCTATTATATATTTGGGCCTATATCAATTCAGAACTGAAGCATATAAATTATTATATTATTATATTATTATGCTCACAGAATAAATAATTAAGCCATAACAGGAATAAAAACATAAAACATTAACTTTTCAATCAAAACTAAAGATTTTTCTACCAGTCAAAAGTTTGCACTCACCCTCTCATTCAATGTTATTTACTATGTTTGCTACTTAGATGAAGTAAGATGTATGGAATTACATAGCAAAAAAAAAAAAAAAAAAAAAAAGTTTAAATATCTTTACTAATTTAAAAAAATATATATATAAAAAATGACCAAATTCTCAAATTATGCACCTTTAAAAAAATATTTACGGTTACTTAACTTTTTGTCTTTACTAAATAGCTCCTTATATCTAGTATCATATATATGATGTTTTCTGTATGTATGTAAAATGAAAAGAAAAAAATAAACAAAACATTGAATGAGCAGGTGAGTCCAAACTTTGAACTGGTATGTGTATATATTTATACATGTTTTATGTGTACTACAGTTTGAGTGCCACTGACTCAAAAGGTGCCAGTGTTCATCTTCAGACCTTTTGAAATGATAGAAATCCTCCTCTCCATCACTTTTAGGTTGGTTACAAATGTGTGCTCAGAACAGTCCCATTTCTAACCTGTACAGCACTAAAGTAAGAAGTAACAGATTACTTTGACCAAGGACTTTTGACCAAGACTCATATTTTTTGCCTTCGACACTGCTTTAAAGCCAAACATAAGGGGACACACAGACTGTAAAGATATACACTAAACACAAGGCACTGCACAGTACACAGGGATTAAACTGTAAATGTCTGGGAAATTCAAATTTAGATTCAAATTTATTCAAATTTCAGAATTTTCCACATAAAATGTAGAAATAGCACTCACTAAACAGTTTTATTCAAAATGATGGGTGACCAGTGTGCTCCTTTGTTTCACATGCATTACTGAAAAACTACAAATCATGTTTAAAGTATCAGGAAAATGTGTTTCTTGTGTAAATTGTGCCAGAATGTTTCAACAGAATTCTCCTTGTGATGATTTTAAGAAAAATATTATTATTACACACAACTTGGTTCGCAAATGTGATACAACAAACATGGCTGTGTGTCGTCAGCATTTACACGTCTGGATGAGGGAAACTATTACCAAAGGAAGTTGTCATCCGCATCCGTTTCCAAATGACTTTCAATGGAACTCCACAGTCACACCTTGCCTGACAGTAACATCCCTCCAGTTCCTCGTATATTACATATACAGGAAGCGATTAGGACGACATTGTCAGGCAAAGTCACACCCACTTCCAAGATTCAAACATTATGTTATTATTTATTTATCTATCACAGGTGAGCAGTCACTGTTGAACTCCACTTTGATAAAAGTAGCTGCTGCAATAACGTCTGCTAAAAAAACTAACTTTGCAGCTGCACGCACAGAGAACTGCAGTACTAACGCCTACTGCACAGGTGGAGGCTGAACAATAGTGCAGACCTTTATATAGGATCTTACTGTTATTTATTAGTTTTACCTTGTCACACCATGTAATTGCCAGCACATCTTTCTGAGTGAACTGTCTGTGGCAGATTATTCAGGAGCTGTACTTCCTCCAGACAGCTGTGAGAGTCAGAGCCAAGGCACTAATGCAATGGACAAAGACTTTTGTTAATGCTTGACCAGCTTTAAATATATACAGGCTGCCTCACCCTCACTATTCCTGTACTTATAATATGCAGCTCCTTTTCTCACCAATGCTGTAAATATGAACAGCATGTGTTAAACCGCAGAATAAGGCTAATTGGCCACATAATGTGACCTTTGGGAACACAATAATGGTCACATTTTTATATAGCGCTTTTCAACCTTCAATGCACTCAAAACAACAAGGAACCACTTACCAATTCACACACACATTCTTCACACACCAGTGTACGCAGACACTGGGGATGAGTTAAGTTAAGTGTCTTGCCCAAGGACACAATGACAGCATTCATCTGTGGGAGCTGGAATCACACCAGCCAACCTGTGGGTCAGTGGCCAACCTTCGATCAGTGGACAAAGACTTTATTGACGGTCATGTCGTCAGTAAAACTTGCAAATTGAGCAAGTGATTCTGCTTTACAATGGTATGACTTTGCAATATTATATTTCGTGATGTGGAAGAATACTTTGAAAATGTATTTAGTTACAGAATACTGAATACGCCAGTTAAAATGTATTTTGTAACATATTCCGTTGCATGGCCCAGAGTACTTCATTCTGAATACTTTTACACCAAGTTACATTACATTATCGTGTAAAGAAACATGATGTACAATTACAAACAGCTTTATTTTGTTGCACTGTTGTATCTTAGGTATAATTAGAGACAAACCATCACTCAGTGCAAGAGCTGTGTTTTCTTTTTTTCTAACCAATACTGTGCAGTCAAAGCCAAAATTGCATGATGAAGTACTGCCATATATTCCTTTTAATTTAGGAAAGTAACTGTATTCTGAATATCATCAAAGGAAAAAGTAACTGTACCAAAATACAGTATTCAGAACACATAGTTTCGGTACATGTATTCGGTTACTTCCAGCACTTCCATGCACCTAATTTCCTTCTGGTTAATTTAGGTTAATCTTATTTCAAATCAGTTAAAACAGAATCCAGTGCATTGCTCAAGGACATTGTAATAACATGAACCACCAATCCTCTGGACATGAAACCACCTGTTCATCCGCCTCCAGAGATACCAAAAACTTCAAAATGAATAATATTTCGGCTTTGGTTCCAGCCTGCAGCATATCTGTAAAACACCACTTCACTGCGGTGGCCAAGGGGGTTTTTCCTTCATAGTAGAAAATCACGCTCTTATATATTCAGTGGGATTAGCTGTGCTCTGCTGCTGTCAAATAAAAGATGGATCAAATCAGCATTTCTTGTGAACTATTTTCGAAGATTTCAGACAGCAGTTAAGAAATGTTTACAATATCAATGCCAAGATCTTTTAAATGA